AATTAAAAACGCTATTAAGTTAATAATATTGTCCAACGTTGCTTAAATGAATTAAAATCATGTAATATATAAGAAAGTGAACACACTTCTAAATTCAAAAATGTGCACCTACAAAGAGAGTTGGTTTGGCCGCCAGACTCGTGGGCTCAAGACCCTCACTCATTCTTACTATTTACTGACTCATTCTAAAAACAAACAGAAAGATAAACAACAATCTCTCTTCTCTCTTTTTTCATAGTAAATGTCTCGAAAGTACATCGTATATCATATATCGAGTGTCTCGATTATAATCTTAACACAATTGTATTATGGGATTCAGAATTTCAAAAATCGGCCAATTGCGAGGAATTTTACGAATTAAAGATAGAGATTTCTACTCTTTAATCTTGGGATTCAAAATCTCATCTCTGTATATTTTCTAAAATCAATTTCACATAATTTTTTTATCTCTACTATTTAATTTGTATTTTTTAACCAGATGATTTGTGGTTCTTGCAACTGGTTTTCTTAACAGTTATAACAATGGTTTTATTGGTGCGTGTTTATTTACTCTTCTTTAAAAATTTAAAATCAATCAAAGACAAAAATTTCATCGAAACACTAACTAATTGAAAAATACGGGTGCAAATGGATGTCTTTTTTTATAAATAAAATGTTGTGGAATGCTCCATTCCACTTATCCCACACAAAAATTTACCATCCACTTCCTATTAAAAGCCAAGTACAATTATTTAATCTCCTTAGATGTTATAATTTGATTGGTTTAAAATTATGACATGTCTTTGCAAAACTGATGACATGTTTATAGAGAAATGATGACATGGATTCCTAATTAAAAAATACTAGATTTAATTTATGATTTCTATTTTAATTTATGAATAATAAATTGATGATGAAAAAAAACCGAACTATATTAAAGAGTACGAACGCTTGACGATGGTCTAGATTCAAACCAATATTTTCTTTTGACATCAATCTTCCATATGCATGTAATATCGCCAGATACATATTTCACTGACCGAATGCATGCAAGATTTTATTTTGACATATGCATGCAAGATTTAAATAATTTGTTCATAATAGAAAATGGAATTGAATACAACATATACATATTTCCTCTAAGAAATTATACACGACTAAAAATAAATGCATGGCTATAAGCTTTCTATCATGAACAAATTATAATATCTTTAAAAGAAAATATTTTTTCAAAAAAAGATCGACATTAAAGATGGACACAACAGAATTACAACGAAAAATCTAAGCAAAAGTTTTTAAAAAAAAATTAGAAAATAATATATTTTGTCAATATTTTCTTTAGGTATATTTGTTGGATATCCTCAGTAGATACCTTACGATTTGATACTCTAAATCTCACTGGGCCGTTATTTGTTCTTTTTTGCAGTCATAATATATCCTATATAAGTCCACAAGAGTTTTTCGGTGTTACAATCACCAATTCACCATCATAAAAATCTACAAAAATTTTTCTTCTCTTTTTTTCATATGCTCTAATGGTCAATTTTTTAGAAGCTAATGTTACATATCTAAGGAACACCACAAATACATGGCATATTCATGTAAAGG